CGGGACTGGAGCGTAGCGAGTTCGTCCTGGGTCCGGTTTAGTGAAGTGAAGAATTTCGGGGTGCTTGCATGGCAAAAACCTTCACTTCACTAATCTGGGGCCCCTGGAGCCCCAGGGCGTTTCAGGTCCCCTCGCTGTCTGGGTAGTCCAGGGGGCGCAGTGGCGGCTTACCAGAGGCCCTGTTCCCTAGCCTCACTTGCTTTCACCCGTGGTGCTCGACGGCCGTCTCGGAGCTGTCTTGTGGCGGTCTGGGGCAATCCCGAAGCCTCTTGGAGCCATCCCAAGGCCCCAAGGCGCCACCAATGGGGGCCCCAAGAGAGCTCCCAGAGGGCCCCGAAAGGCCTACAACAGATTGCGCGTTCGCGCGAATTCTTTGTACCACTTTGGGCGGTCCCTCTTGGGGCCCTCGGGGAACGTTCTTGGGGCCCTCCGAAGGCCCACTGGGGCCCCGGGAAAGCCCCAAGAACGCTCCAAGAGGGCCCCAAGAATGCTCCAAGAGGGCCCCAACAGGACCCCCACAAGTGGCAACAACTATTTGCATGAGGGTGCAACTTACTCGGCGCCTCTTGGGGCGCTCTTGGAGCCGTGCTGGGCGCCACTCGTGGACGACATGGGCTGGGCGACGGCATGTGGACCCTGTCGCTTGGGCCATCGGGGGTGCTCCCCAATGGGGCCACGAAGCCTGTGAGCGTATGACGGAATGGGCTGGGCGGCGGCCTGTGGGCCCTGCCTGTGGGGCCGTCGGTGTAGCTCCCCGTGGGGCCACGAAGCGTGTGAAACGTATGCCGAAATATGCTGGGCGGCGGCCTGGGAAACCTGCCGCTGGGACCTTTTTTTGGTGGAGCTGCCTATAGGGGCACGAAATGTTTGAGGGTGTCATCAATGTGGCGTGGGCGACGGCATGTGGACCTTGCCGCCGGGACCTCCGATGAACTCCTCATGGGGACACGAAGCGTCTGAGGGGCGTGCCGACATGGGCTGGGCGGCGCACTAATGACCCTGCCGATGGGGCCTTCGGTGGACCACCTCACAAGGCCACGAGACTTGCGGGGGATGTGGCGAAGCGGAGACGCGGGGGAACAACGGGGGTGTTTTGATGATGTTGATGAGGATGGTGGTGGTATTGATGATGGAGACGACGAGAATGCTGATGATGCTGATGATGATGGTGATGGCGACGATGACGATGGACGATGACGACGGAGACACGCGGAGAGCAGGGGCAGATACGCGAAGAGGGAGGACGAAGGAGGGGGCCGGAAGGAATGACGCGGGGCGGTGTCCCTTCAAAACGAAGAACCAACACTGCAATATGCTAGGAACTTTCTGGACGACCCCCCCCGTGGCGCGGTCAATGTCCGCGACAGCATCGCTGGCACTACGAACGAAATGATCGAACTCTTCCTGCGACGTTACCCGCGGGGTGGATCAGCCAGGGATGGGGGTCGAAACCGCCCCAGCGCAAAGCAAATGTACAATCCTGAGAAACCCCAGCCCACATCAACCGATCCGCAACAAGCACGCAAGCCTTTGACGACCCCAACGCACGTGACATCGCATAGCGCGACGCGCCATCGAAAACGTTCGACGCGCGGCCTCGGAATGACATCGGGCTTCATGGAACGTCGAATGGAAAACATGAAAAAAACGCCCTGTGGGCTCCGAGACCCAAAATTACTGATGTGAAGGATTTCGGCTCGTCGACCCCATGGGGAAATCGCGAACAGGCTGCGCGGGGCTGCGCCAAGGCTATGCGTGATTGTGCAGGGCTGTGCCAGAATTGCTAGGGATCACTATTCATGATTCCACAAAGCCGTCGGTGGCATTACGGGGGGGGGCCCAGCCGGAGGCATGCTTTTTGGCGATCGGGTCCGGCGCCCCTGAGCCCTTTCGTTGTGGTTCCAGAAGAATAGGAGGAAAAAGTGCACACAGTTGCACACATCAGCGATTCGAGCTTCTACGGGGGGGGGGGGGGAGCGCCGGCCCCCGTAGTTCGTCCGATCGATTGAAGCAGGTGGCAAAATCAGCCCAGAACTTCTCTACGGAGGTAGTTCGTCCGATCGATTGAAGCAGGTGGCAAAATCAGCCCAGAACTTCTCTACGGAGGGGGGGGGGGCGGCGGGGGGTTCCGCCGAAAGCAAAACAAAAAAAAAAAGAATGCTCACCAGCGGAAGCGAAGCGTCTGACGGAAGGCTCAACCACTCCGAAGCGACCACGGGGCTCCCAAGGCCCACCATCCCGAGCACGTGGGGCGCCGGCCCTGTGGCGAACCCTGAGGGCCTGGCCCCAGTCACCCGCTGTCACAGCGTGGTGAGCGTCGCACTGAGTGTGACAGGCCAGGCTGGCGGGGATGAACATCGCCAGCGTGGCAGAAGAATCCAGGGAGGAGCTGCACAGAGAACGATCACCCCCGCGATCCAGGGGCACGTGAACCTGGCAGCCCGCCCTGCCCGGGAGGGATCCGCGAGGAGGGGCGGTGGGGACGGACATCACCGGCCCTCCACGCAGAGGGGCTCACCAGGGACACCTGGCGAAGGGACATAGGGAGGGCCGAAGCCCGGGCCCGAACTCCAGGGATGCAGCTAACGGCTGCTCAGGGTTGGACGATCACCCCCGTTGATCCAGGGGCACGTGAACCTGGCAGCCCGTCCTGCCCGGGAAGGATCCGAGGGGAGAGGCGGTGGGGATAGACATCACCGGCCCTCCACGCGGAGGGGCTCACCAGGGACACCTGGTGATGGAGGGGGGCATGGGGAGGGCCGAAGCCCGGGCCCGAACTCCAGGGATGCAGCTAACGGCTGCTCAGGGTTAGGTAGAAGACGGAGCGCCCACGGGGGGGCGAATAGAGGGCGGAGCATCCCCAGGGTAGGCGCAGCCTGCAATGGGACTGTTGCAACCGGTACCGTCGGCCCGCCGGCATTGCAGGTCGCGTGGCGCCTGCCAGCGCGCCGGGGATACCAGGGGTGCAGCTAACGGTTGCTCAGGGATGAGCAGGGGGGCCGTACCTGCTGCAGCGAGAGTGGGCGGCCTCCCAACGGCTGTCTCGCCTCTCCGTTTCAGAGTGCACGACTGCAGCGGCATGGGGCTGATTTCTCTTGCTTCCAGGGTGGCCACGGCCTCAACAGTCACGAGTCCGATGCGCTGTCCGTCCGGGAGCAGGCGGGAGCCGTCTCTGAGCACGGGCCTGCCCTCTGCAGCCCTCGGGCACGGGGAGGCAAGGGTGCCTAGAACGCCCGCGGACGCAAGGCTGGAAGGGGGCGAGGGAACCCCAAACGGACAGCCAGAGCCGAGGAGGGCAGGGGCACCGGGATGCAAGAATACCTTGAGCTCCCGCAGATCCCTCCCCGCCGGAGGGCAGCGGAACCGGCACCCAGGGATACGGCCGCTGGTCAGGAGCTCACGCGGATCCTTCTCTGCCAGTGTGGTGCCTCGTCGGGGTGCAGCGAACGGCTGCTATGAGTTTTGTGACCTCAGTACACAAGGGGGCCTCGGTACACCAGGGTTGCGGCTGACGGCCGCCTGGGATGAGGTACACGTCGACAGGGCAACGGCACATTGCCGACAACGCTGGTGGTCCCCGCGGGAAGCCGTCGCTTGTGGATGGGCTGGTGGGGGAAACGGTGCCCACAGGCCCGCGAGGCGGGCGAGGCCGTCGGGGCACGCCTGGCCCATTCCACCTTCTCGTAGCACTCGTCGCCCCCGACGCTGGAGCGGCACGCCTCAAGCAATGGTTAACTGCACAGCCGGACGCCCCACGAGCTGCCGACGTACATGGCCTGGGGCAGCTGCGGGGGCCTGTCCACGCCGTGCAAGTGCAGCTGGGAGCCCTCGAAGATGGAGTACCCGTCTGAGGCTTCAAGGATGGAGGGAAGGTCCTTGTTCAAAATGTGGTTATCGTTTCAACGCCGCGCACTTTCGTCTTGGACAATTGCAGCAGCTTCTCAAAGGGCGGAAGACGGAACCCTTCCGACATGCGGATCTCGTCTTAGTGCCACGCACACTCGTCCTAAAGTTTGCAACAACTTCGAGGATGGAGGGCGGGTCATTTTCAAAATGAGGTCTCGCCTTAGCGCCACCCGCAGTCGTCTTAAAAGTGTGCAGCAGTTTCACGGCTGGAGGTCGGGTCATTGTTCAAAATGTGAGTCTCAGCCGTGCACATTCGTCTGTCACGTTTGCGACAGTTTGACGGGTTCGTATGGTAGAAGTCCTGGGAATGGCGTTCTGGCGCGATTTGGGATTGCAAGGACGCAGCAATTACGTAGATTCGCGGAGTTGACGTCCCAGGAACTGCGTCCTGGCAAGTTTTAGGATTGTCAGGACGCACGCAACAGTCACGCTGATTCGCAGCTTTGAAATTCAACAAATCGTGTTTTGGTACGGTTGGGGATTCTCAGGCTGTTGTCCTCCAATGGGGCATTTCCCACAGTGACGGTTCATGTTTGTAGGGGCCTATGAAAAGAGAACCTGGTGGGAGGGCATATTGCAACATCGTGGATGCACCATGGGTATATACTGGTCCTCCTTCATCCTGCTCCTCCTCAAGAGGGGGGCTATCACAAGGTGGGCTAGCAAATCAGCTACGCAAAACTGGTTTCTCCAAGGCCTCCTGGGGATGGAGGCGGCCGCGAATCGAGTAAAAGTGCATGGCGGCGGAGCCGAGACCAGCTGCGAGCTGCAGTTGTCGTAACTCCCATTTCTTAATCCCCCTCCTCGTCAAACCCGATGCCATCCCCCCTCCTACGCCATCAATCTTTCCCCTCATTCTCCTCCGCCGCCTCTTGGAGCGGCAGCGGCAGGAAGGACTGGACCGAACCGGCGCTAATGACGACGACAACTACGGTGAAGACAACGACGAAGACGAAGGGCGACGACGACGAACACCACGAGGGCGAACAAACCGAACACGGAGACGACGACAAACATGCAGACGGCGACTAAGACGAAGACGAAAACGACCACGACGAAGACGACGACAAGAAAGACGAAGGCGACAAGGACGCCTCGTCCACGGGCCCGGTCCCCAGGTCGCCGAGCGCGCAGGCGGCGGCGATCCTCCCCGCAGTCGACGCCGCCGCCGTCGGCATCCTCGTGGTCGTCGGCATCCTCGTGGTCGTAGTCGTCGTCGTCGTCGTCGTCGTCGTCGTCGTCGTCGTCGTCGTCGTCGTCGTCGTCGTCGTCTTGATCCTGCTCCTGCTCCTGGTCCTCTCCTGTTCCTGCTCCTGCCCCTCGTCCTCCTCCTCCGCCTCCTCCTACTCCTCCAGATGTTCCTTCTTCTTCGTGCAGTGCTGACCGTCTGGGGGGGCCAGAATTAGACCTCGCCGTCCCTGCTGGGGGTCCGCGAACTGTGGGAGAGCGCGTTTCACTGGCCGCGCGTTTCGAACTGGGGGGTCTCCCCTCCCTCTAAAACCCCCCTCCCGAACCCCCTCTCCCGTCCCAGGGTGGGGGGGGTCCAAGCCCCCCCTCCGGGAAAGGGGAAAGGAGCAGGGCATTCTAACTCCCCCAATATTTTCTCTTCTGGCTTCCCGAGGGAGCGGGGGGTTCCAACACCCCCCCTCCCCTCTCTCCTCGGTGCCGGTTCTGGCGCCTGCGCTGGCGGCGGCCGACAGCACCAACGGCAGGCGCAGCGACGATGACCAGAGGGAGCCCTGAAACCGCCACGGGAAAATACAAATTGCCATATCGAGCCTTTGCTTCCCAAGAGCCACCGGGGGCCCTCAAGAAGTTCGTTCCCAGAGACGCCCAAAAGGCGCCCATGAGCCCTCACACATGCTCCTCAGACGCCCCCGGGACCCCTCTGACGAGACCCCATGCAGAAGGCACCCATTGGAACTACAACCCAAAACCAAGACACGGTGGCGAGAAGACCCGAGGGCCACACCACCACCACCACCACCACCACAAACCACCAAATCACCACCACCACCGCCGCCACCACCACCACCACAACCACCACAACCCACCACCACCACAACCACCCCCACCACCACAAACCACCGCACACGACCACCACCAGCACAACTGCCACCACCACCACAACCCACCATTACCCACAACAACCACCACAATCACCACCATAAACCACCACACCACCACCACAAACCATCACTACAACGCACCACCACCACAACCTACCACCACCACCACCACAAACCACCACACCACCACCACCACCACAACCACCACCGCCACCACCACAAACCACCCACAACCCACCACCACCACAAACCAGCACGCCACCACCACCACAAACCAGCACGCCACTACCACCACCACCACCACCACCACAAACCACCACACAACCACCACCACCACAGCCACCACCACCACCTCAGCAACCCACCACCACCACAACCACCTCCACAACAACAACAACAACAACAACAACAACAACAACAACAACAACAACAACAACAACAACAACAACAACAACAACAACAACAACAACAATTACTAGCACGTGGGGACACTCCGTTCTCACCAGTGCCAGGGTTTTCATAGGAGGCGGGCAATACCCCCACTTTGTGGGGGGGCCGGTTCAAGCTCTACCAAATTTCCAAACGACTCTTCGCCACCACCCACACCCAGCTTCCCGCCCTATGACGTTCGGACACTTCACTTCGTGGCATGCGGACGACCGTGGCTACTATTCAGGGCCCCGCGGCCGACGACGACGGCGTGCGCGCGCGAAGAAAAAACGAATGTGTCCCGCATGGTATTATTTGACAGGGATGATGGCCCTGGCAGGTGCGCAACCGTTGTTGCAGAAGTTCGAAAAAGTTGCTCGCAAAAGCCCGTTTGACAGAAATGTTTAAAAAGTGTTGGGTTTCCTACGAATCCGCAAGAGCGCGCGGGATGAGATTTTGACAATTTTTTTGTTGAAAAACCATTGGTTTTTTGATGTTTTTATGTTAAAATCGCTGCGAACACTAAGGTTTTGGAAGGATTTCGTCTTGCGCGCGCGAATGTCCACTTTACCTTATTTTTTGCAAGGGATTCTTGAAATTTGATTATATTAGAACAAGAAATGTCATTTTCTATTGTTTTTTGCAAGGGAAAGCGGATTACAACAAAACAACCGGATCCTGTACACACCCTCTTTTCTGAGGCTTCCTCACGAAAATGATGAAAATGTAGCTGCGGCCTAGGCGGCGCAGGGGGGGCGCGCACCAGGGGGCCCAACAATAATTATTCTTTAGAATAAATAATGTTCAACAACAACAACAACAACAACAACAACAACAACAACAACAACAACAACAACAACAACAACAACAACAACAACAACAACAATCCACCACCACTACCACCACCACCACCACAACCCACCACACCACCACCACCACCTCCACAACCACCACCACCGCCACTATCACCACTACAACCCACCACCACCACCACAAACCACCAAACCGCCACACCACCACCGCCACACCACTACCACACCACCACCACCGCCACAACCAAACACCATCGCACCAACACCACCAGCACCACCGCCACAACCGCCACCTCCACCACCACAACAACCTGCCAGCACCACCACTACCGCCAACATCACCACAAACCACCACCACAAACCACAACACCACAACCACCACCGCCACTGCCACCACCTCCACAACCCACCACCACCACCACAAACCACCCCACCACAGCCACAACCACCACCACCACAAACCACCACACAACCACCACCATAACCACCACCACAACCACCACCGCCGCCACCACCACCACAACCACAAACCACTTCGCGGCACAACCACTACCACCAACAAAACCACCACGACAAACCACCACACCACAACCACCAGCACCACCACCACAAACCACCACCACAACTACCATCACCACCACCACAAACCACCACACCACCACCACAACCACCACATCAACCACCACAATGACCACCACTTCCACCACCAACAACCACCTCACCACCACCACCACCACCACCTCCACCACCATCGCCACCACCACCACCACAACCCACCACCACAACCCACCACCACCTCCTCAGAGAGGCCCCGAGAGACACCTCAGAGACCCCAAGAGGCTTCACACACGCCCTTCAGAAGCCCGGTGGATGGGCTCGAAGCCCACACGAGCGACGATCAAAAATGGGCCTCACGCGAGATGGCACAGCGACCTCGCGCGGCGGCTTCCGCGGGCCGCCATCGCGGCACGCTGCATTGGAGACGCTGGCGCCCCCCCCCCTTCAATCTAGGGGGAGGGGGGGGGGCAGTTCTAAACAACCCCCCCCCTCCAAGCGACCGCGGAACGCGCTCTTTCCAAACTGTGAAGCTGTCCCTACTTTCGAGGGCTGGTGGGGGCCCAGCGCAGACCTTCGTCGTACCCTTCGGATGGCGAGGCCTCCAAGACAGCCCCAAGAAGACCAAAAAGGCCCGCGAAATGGCCCAACGTCAGACCGCCTCTAGACAGTCCAGGAAAGCATGTGTATGGCACAGGACGGCTCAAAGAAAGCTCAAAGCTGCCCAAGAAGGTCTCCGATATGGCCTAAGAGGGCAACTCGACGGCCTAAGACGGCACCAAGACGGACCAAGGATGGCCTCAAGAGACCTCCCAGACAGCCAAACCAGACTAAGGAGGCCCAGATCTGGTCGGAGCAGATAGGGTCAGAGGGTCGCGCGGCATCGTCGATACATCCCACATGCATCGGCGACACCGGCGATGCATCGGCGACGTCGGCGTGGAGAAAATCAAGCTCCGCATCGACCCGCATCGACGATGCATCGATGATGCGGCGCGATCCTCCGATCGCAGATAGTCGGACCCCATCGAGTAGGCATAGAGACACGGTAGCGGAACTTGCGAGAGCCAGCTGGAGAAATTAGCATACAAATGCCCTCTCCACCTTGCTCCCCTGTCCTGGCGTCGGGCTTGTCGCTGCCCAGCAATTTGCTGATCTCGCCCGCGTACGTCTCGGCCCTCAGCGACGCCAGCGCGGACGCCGCGGCACACGCCGGCATCAACATCGCCTCAGAGCATGGGAAATGTACACCACCGTCAGACCCAGCCGAACCCGTCTCGAGACCTGGGCCAGGGCACCCTCCCCTCCACCTTCTGCACACCCCGTGGCGGGTGACGCCGCGCGGCGGGTGTGCAAGGCGGAGGAGGACACAGGGCCCACCCCCTGTCCTCACAAATCACGACGCCGCGGGAAGAAAACCTGACTTCAGCGGGTGGTGGTGGTCACTGCACAGGGGGAACAAGTCCCGAGCAACGCAACACGCACCACGACCAGGACGACGCCGTCCGTTGCCGTCGTCGTCGGCATCGTCGTGGTCTTGATGCGTACGGCTCTGCTCGGGACTTGCTTGTCCCTGATGCAATGACCGCCATCACGTGCAGTCGGGGCGAGGGTGATGCCAATCATCTGGAACCACAAAATACCGCTTCCGCTACTCCTCGGACCTCTCCTGGGGTGCGTTCTGACCAGAATTCCAAGGCAAATCCAACGGTGGCGACGAGGGCCTCCCAAGAGGCCCCAAAGAGAAAGACGAGGCAAGGGTGGCAGTATGGTTTCTTCCTCCTCCTTTGAAGCTGTGAGGTTTGCGCGACGCCAGGATCTGAGGCTGGGGCTCCGCCAGTGTGTGGCACCATGCTGCAGGGCCCTCTTCATGGGCCCTGCAAGGCCCCACGGTGCTGCGGGGCTTGCGGGGCGCCCGCTCACCGCGGGCTGCCTGCTCTCGACCCCGGCCGCGCAGTGGGCACGCTGCCCCAAGTCCTCGGGGAAGGGGGGGGGGTTCGAGCATGAAATCGGCTGCAGAGCTGACATACCCCATGATATGAAGTTTGCGTCGAATGCGCAACAAATTCAGGGTGCTCGCACATGTACGGGAGGCAAGCGTATGTTCCTAGGTTCGGTGAAATTCTGACCAGCACTTTACGGCTCAGGTGGTCTCTAGTGTTTTGTCTTCCATCTGCCCCTCATCCCCTTCGGGGAAGGGTTTATCACTCTTCCATATGAATATACACACCCCGAAACCCGGCCGGCGTCCAACCAGGAACCATGGCGACTGCATGAGGGC